ATCTTTTTGGCTGTGATACTATCCGCCGAGAAACATCAACGTCCTATATGGAGTTGTGAACTACTACGGATGATCTTGGTCATCATGAAAAACTGCGGCCATTCTTGGCTTTGAATCCTATTGACCTCATGAGAGGTATGATCTTCTACAAGTTCTGGGCCCCATCTTCGCCCTATCATCATATTAAAGCCGGCAGGTTGTCAAGGACGACATTGGTCCACTTCTTTTCAATAAAAAAATATTCAGATACTTAATTTTTCAAAAGAATCGATGTTATTGTTGTAAATACCAACAGAGAAAGGTTTGTGAGGTAACATTTCCTAATCTAGGCGAAAGTGCGGATTTATATTCTTTTGAATTTTATTTGAGCTAACGGGAGTGCAGAATCCGGTATTCCGTTTATTAGGCCTTTTCAGCAGATTCCTTCTTTTTCCCTGTAGCCTTCTGATAACTAGGCACTAGCATGAGGATCTACACATGTCTTTGACCACCTTTTTTACTTCCTTCATCGAAACCCAGTGATATCTTGCAATTAAACGTTCTATGTATATAAACAGTAGATTCTTAACCAAACGTGCTTCAAGCGTTTGGCTTCGCGGAAATACTGTGGGCACGTGGAAAATTTATCGTGAAAAAGTTGTCAACATCTACTTGACTTGCGTACCTTAGTGTTAAAATTATGAGTAGTCCTGTGATCCAAGCTAAACTTTTTTCTAAGCAACCTTGTTTATAAGCGCAGGTGGTGCAATGCTGGTGGTGCCGTTCATTACGCTCAATTTTCTGGTCCGACCCTATCTAGGTCAACTATGGCTCTCAGTCTTAACCCTTTTATTTACTGCCTTTTTCTTTTTAATGGCAGGGTATGTTGCGAAATATAACTCGTATATGATGCTGAGACATTTGCAAAATTCCGGACCGCAGGTGTTTGCGTTGGGGAACGAACGCGCTATTGTCCTTCGTTTTGCCTGTCTCTCAGCTAGTTCTATTGATCTTTTGCCATCAGCAATCACCCGTCAACGGGATTGATCGGGGAGCCCAAATCGGTATTGAACCCAGTTAAGTTGAGGTTTAGTTATAATCACAATCTTAACCCTTTTATTTGCTCTCTTTTTCTTTTTAATGGTAGGGTATGTTGCGAAATATAACTCGTATATAATGCTGAGATATTTGCAAAACTCTCAGTCTTCTGGAGGCTGATAATGACCCTAGAGTTATCAGAGGCTGACTCGCTCTCTCAAATTCACAACGAATATCAAATGAATACGAATATGATCTGGGAACTAGATTGAATGGCGATCCCGTTATTTCAGGGAGAACTCATTTGAGTACCACTCAACGACATAAGTAAAAGAGTCAAAATCCTCGAGAACGACGAGAGCATCACACAAGTTCGGAAAACGTTTGTGAAATATGAATTCGAGAAAGCGAACCGAACAGAAGAGTTCCTGGTGTCCGCACAGTATTTGGTGTTGGATTGGTAAAAAAAACCTGTTTTAATAGTTTATTTTAATATATTCTCTACATGCGAATTGAAATAATTTGTTCGCCTAGGCTCATCTTACGGTGAAGTTTAAATTACGCCGAGTAAACGAAATACATTTCAACGCTAAAATCGTTATTAATATCTTTCCAAACTGCAATTTAATAAAGCGTGTAAATGATTATTCACGTGATTCCCTACTAATTACTAAGTCAGCTAAAGGGTGGTACTCGGAAAAATTGCAATCGGTAACATCACGGTTCAAGATTAAACCTGATTTTGAAATCTCAGAACTAACATAGATTAGTTAGTTTACAATGTTGACCTTTTATTTACTGTCTTTTACTAGTTTTCACGGCAGGGCATTATTTTTGAAACAACCACAATGACGCTGGCTTACCCACATAGTGTGGTGGTGAGCGCGTTACTCTCCGGAAGGGACAATAGAGCGCTAGCTCCCCACCGCAGGCACCTGCGGTCTGGAGTTTTGCAAACTGGTTAGTTTATCTACTAATCATCTTCTTTGCTCTATTTTGAAAAAGTATTTTTAAGCATATTCTCTTCTGACAACTGTGGAAAAAAAAATGAAATGTCATCAATGAGAGAGCATTTGACATTAATCGGATTTCATCGAGATACACCACCACACGCGTTGCATTGATAGGTCCATCGTAACATCAGAAACATTGTTGTAACCGATTCGCTTATTCACGAAGCAAGCTACTGAACAAGTTAGGTTTTACTTGGTCTGCTACTAATTGACTGCAGCATGGTGATTTACGTTAGTATCCTTGTAATATTTACAATCAGTAATGGAAATTTGTTGTTCTTGTTGTTGTTGCTGCGTAGAAAATTGAAGATGATCGTAAATCTAGACTATTTCCTTTCAACCATAATAATGCTGAGATATTTGAGAAACTCTGGTCGGCAGGTGTCTGCGGTGGGGAACAAACATGCTATTATCCTTTTCGGGGGCTAACGCGTTCACCACCACACCATGCGGGTCCTTCATTTCGCCTATCTGTCAGGCAGTTCTATCGATCAGTGCCATCAGCAATCACCCTTCAACGGGATTGATCTAGAGAGCCCTATTTCCTTTATTGTGCTAATTTACTCATTCTGAGTTTTAGTGAAAAAGAAATCTTCCTGGATGGTTTGAGCATGTTCGGTGATTAGTCAACTAACAGCAGTTATTTTTAGTCGCAACTAACGCTTCTGTAAGATACAGAGTGCACCCGTAGTGAATGTGTAGTTTTTGAAACGCTGTGCTGATAACACTATCAAAACTACTATCACTATGACGCCAAAAGTCATACTCGCCTCTGTTGGCTGATCAATAAGCAATTCGTTCGCTTTTCCTCTATAGCTGACTATGATTAAGTGATGTCGATGTTTATTTCGAGGTTGCCGTTTGCGACAGTGACACTCAATAACTGATGAGACATCGCTCGATCTCTTATTTCTACCTGTGTTCGCCCTAAATCCCGAGAACATCTGACATCCACTAATGCTATTCGCCTTTCTAATTTGGTGATTTGTGGAGGACCTTAATATAAATGTCTTTTAATCTGTTCCTCTCTTGTTTTCAGACTACAGCATTGGCTTGTGTATATGCATTTGTTTCTAGACAACGGCCATGGCTGGTTTTGAAAAAACGGTGGCAAATTTTGAAGGAAAATTTAGAATCCTGTTATCGGCGCAAACATATTTCAGCGAAAGTTGGAACCATTAGAATTTCCATCCATGTTGCTAATGAGACACATGATCCTTTTTTAAGCAGTTTATAATTCTGGGGTTTTGGAAGCGATTAACTCGCCGAAGACATTTTCAGGAAAGGATTGCTTGTAAGAGGTTCTTTGTTAGGAGTGACTCTCAGAGTTTTTGCAAAGCTGTTAACTCGGTTGAGGAGAGCTTCGGTGAGTAAGCGGTTTAAGTGTAGTTTCTTAGTTGAATCTGTTGAATTGCGGCTGCTTCGAAGCGTCGAGAATGGTCGTGCAAAAGAATTGGACGTTTCCAGCTAAGCGACGTTGAATACTCACTGTGCAATTTTTAATGAAATTCATCGAATTCGTGACTGCATTCTTTTCTATGACCGTTTTATCAGGATTCATGAAGTTAGGGTGAGCTAATCTAGCCGTAGGCCACCAAAGAAGCCGATATCACCTCTCCGTTCAAATTTGGTTGCGTAAACTATTGAGGAGTTTCAACTCGGTTCATTCATTGCAATAAACATTGTCGGCTGGCTGTCCATTGGCATCTACTTTTCAGCGAAGATAACGGGAACATCGAAAAATGGATTGTTTCTGTTCTATAACAACTACTCGTTGGATTTCGAAAACTTGAGCTCTTTGATCTATGTTCAGTTCGTGTCTCAACTTCTTAAAGAGTTTTAAGCTTTCCAAATATCTTTGAAATGATATGAGGTTGTTGGATGACCAAAGCTGAGCTATTGTACAACCTCCAGATTAGTTCTAAAAGGTTAGCGCGGATTATTACCTTCAGATGGCCTTCGTCAGTTGCTAGTGGCATCCCACAACGTTGCTCATCAGCAAAACATGTACCGGTGTCAAACTACTTTACATTGCATATGTTTTCCGATCCGACCTCTTCACTCTATGCTTCGATAAAATTTCTTGCTGCTTCAGCTACGATTTATCTAGGTTTAAATCGAGACACAAAACACCGTGTATTCTATTGCTTTGAAAGCATTATTTCAACGAGCTTAAAATCATTATAAACAAATTGTTGATAAAGCAGCGCAACATAAACCGCTCGGCAGTAGGTAAACCTTAAAGTGACATACAAGGAAAATACAAGAGATAAATGATAGTCACTAAGTGCATCCAGAGAATTCACACTAACAAACTAATTCATTGGGGCTTCTTCCCCCTAATCGATTTCCCTGACTCTTGCTTCTCAGTGTCCAATTGCTATGTACACTGGCAATTTATATCACAACAGGTTCACTCAGTTAGAGACAGAGATGGGCATTTCCATCGGGAGGCCCAGAGAGAAGTAGTTCCTACGGAACATATCCTCTGCGAGCTAGTCTTGGCTACCTTTTCGCTATGAACAACAAAGTTCAATGGACGCACACCAAAGCTGTGATAATCTTCGTAAATAATTGGTCTAGTGAATTAACTACTTTAATTTAATCACTTAGTGATTCTGACGCTCCTGGAATGCCAGCGTTAGAACTTCGAACGATTTTCAAAGTCTTCATAACATTCCCCATTCTTAATACTGATTTTGCGCATTCATGACATTTTCACGGTGTTACAACGTCCTGACTTGCAGATTAGAGATCAGATTAGGAAGAAGAAGAAAAGAAATAGAGGAGAGAGAGCGAGATAAAGAGGTGGAGAGAAAATATGTCACTTCATCATATATCAGCGTGAGCAAGAGGTTCAGCATCCTTTATTATTTTTGCTAGTTATCACTTCACCTTTGACAAATCTATTGGAAAATGTTTTCAAATTTTGCGCTCAGGTTTCTACGAGACAGCATTGCCATATTTTTCATGGAGCCACTTTGTACTCAGAAAATTCACGTCTTTCAGCACAGGTTGCTTAGAAAGGTAATTTCATTCTTCCATTAACAACAGTACTGGATTTTCTGTTTTTCAAATGGTTAGGTTGCTTCACTCCAGGATTGGAAGCCGTATATTGCGCTAATTTATGGTGAGAGCGCTTTTGGCAAGGCCCGTATTGAGTTGTTCGATTCACCAAGGGAACTAAATTCCATGAAACCACACAAAATTTTCCTCCTCGAGCATTGTGTGTCCATTAAATCGCACACAAATACCGGTGAGTGGATAGATTTTTTCGTAGCATTTCATAAGGTTTATTAGGTTGGAGAATGTACAAACAAAATCGAACTGACATTGAATGGTGGTAAGGAAGCCAGCAGCAGCAGCAGATGTTTTCCAGATAAACAGACAAAGGCAGAGCTAATAATAAGCGATTCAGTTCTTTGCATTCATAAATAGTTCGCCTCATTACATTACGCTGTAGAACAATTCTCATATTAGAAACGATTTATTTCGAAATTCACCAATATTCGATGTTTGCGAAATCAATGTCCGATTTAGAATTTCATTTCCAGTAAATATTTTAGCTATAATTTCTTTTATGATGCTGCACTATTCTTCTACTGTTGCAAAGGTCGCTTTATGCCTTTCGATAGTGTGACTGTGCGCTTTAGTGTAAACTGAGTTTCTGATAAATTTCGAAGAGTGGAATTTCAGATGTCAAAACCGAAATTCTAGGAGTTATTGCCGCCAAACGGCTCGAAACATTAATGGAATACAGCACCTAGAAATTGTTAAGGAACGCAGAGTGCAGTTGGTTTGGAAATTTCCGCCATAGTGAATTCGACGTTGAAGATTACGAGGGTAGTGGCAGTACTTCCACTCGGGACAACGGTGAATTGAAAGCTGCGGTAGAAGTAAACGCACATACACAACTGTTCGACAACTTGCGAAAGAACTCGTTGTAAATATTTCAACTATTTTCGCATATTGTGGTAATATTACAGTTGAAGAATTTTAGCAAATCAGTGTTGCATTAATTGAATAAGAATACAGTAAATCACCGTTTTGAGATATTGTCGGCGCTTTTTCTGTACACCCACAACGACCAATTTCTCTATTGTATTGTACTGAGCGGTGTGGGATGGATTCTCTGTGATAACTGGCGACGAACGACGGAGTGGGTGAACCACGATGATGCTCCGTAGAAGTTTTCAGAGCCGAAATTGCCCTAAGAGAAGGTTGTGCTGGCCCTTTTTGATGTATAGTTGGTTTGACCCATCTTAGCTTCCTGAATCGGAATGGAACGATTTCGGCAGAGAAATGCGTTGATACTTCGATTAAGTTTTTTCCGAGCTGAGATATGCCATGTAAACATAAAAGTTGAAATCAACATTAATTTTGTAAATACTCAATTGGTTTCTATTCGTTTTTGTAGTCTGTTTTTCTAGAGGTAAGAAAACAGGTTTTTTTTAGTAATGGAAGAAGCTGGAAAAAATGGAGTTCTACATTGCATTTCGGTCCTTAACTTTAAAAAGTAATAAAAAAAAGCTTACTCTAGGGGTGGCTTTCAAGGTTCCAAATATCATTGTCTATATTTAGAAGAAACCCCACATATTCATCTTCTATTGAATAATAATATCGAAGTTCGTCTCAAATGTGATAATTATGAAGGACTAATGAACTATCTCAGTATAGCTGCATTTCCGAAGAAGGTAAAATTGTTCTTCTATGATCAGAACTTTCTTTCTATGCTTGTTCACTTTACCAGTTAAGTATGTGAAAACTACACTGAGAACTTTTATGGAGTCATCTTCTTCCGACACGGACGATATTCTTTTCTGTGAGTGTTTCCATTTCTCTCAAAGAAATCATTATTTTTGCGCTACAAAATGAGGGATAAAAAGTTGACTTAAGGATAGCCATAATGTGAACATAATAATTCAAGTCGTTTGGAACTTTAAGAATTCTAGATGACGAATACCCAGTGCTGTTTCTGGTGTCCACAATGACGAAAAAGAAAAGTCGTGCCGAAGGAAACTACTCATTGTGTTTTGGCGAAGTCATTACCTTAATGCACTGTAGCGTTCCCGTTCAACATTTTCCATATAGCGATATCATTTGGTGAGTTCTTGAAAGTAATAAGGCCATCGCGCTAAACTCCTTCCTCCCCAGCAGTTTACAGGCTTCTCATAGTGCAGGTGTTCCTGAGTGTTGAAAATCTCAGCGGGGTTTCGTTTCTGCTACAAAGTTATTTGAACTGAAAAGCAATTTCTCATATCTAGAGACGTCTTTGTGGACCAGACATTGAACCCGAGTGCTGTTTGCTCATGCTATCATTCGCAACCATCTTTTAAGCACTTCTTCTTAAAAAGGATTGTTCAGAATTGACCGCTTCAAATAATTACGTTGTACTTGGCTGATAGCAGTTCCCTGTTTTTTTTTGGCTTGCATCACAGCAAAATATCCAATTATTCGGATATTTCTGTTCAAAAGCAAATGGTAGGAAAAAGTGCAGGAGCAAAAATTAGTGAAAAAGTAGAAACGGGAGATTATTGAGACTAAAATGAAGAAGGAGATGTGAATTATCTTCCTTGATAGTCAACAAGGTTCTTTTTAAAGAATTAGTTTCCAGATCTAATTATTGTTTCACGGATTAGGAAACACATAAGAGCAGTTCTTGTTAGGTTAAGGGACTGATTTTTGATTTAGGGCAGCTGTAGGAGAAAATTCGCTCGGCATATCAGTTGAAAATTGTGGGCTTTTTGAATTCATCTGTGATCGACCACTGCTCATCATTGATCATATGAGGTCTTTCAATTTTTTTGTCCAGTCCCAGAGTTCTATGCTTCCACTGCCACTGCTCTCAATCTACTAACTTTTCCATTGCACGACTGATGGACGTTGTATCCCTGGAAGCCATATTTATTAAGATTTTCCAGGAAACATATAAAATTCCAAAACACCTTTCCTGCAGTGAAGCTGAACACGAAGAGAAATTACAAACGGTTCTATCACCAGGCACGCCAGAAAGCTATTATTGAATCGAATTTCAGGTAACGAGAAGCTCATTTCTTTGAGCCGTTTGCTTTTTTCTTGTTATATACACTTTTTCAATTAAACTCAGTTAATAGTACTAGTTGTTGCGTGCAAAGTGCTGCAGACTAATAGGAATGTGCAAAACTGACGGTGAAACACATAGCTTATCTGACGTCGAATTATGATGTTCTTTCGATTTTTCAACACATCTTTAATGTCAATGGTGATCCTTCGCAGTAGAACAAAAGTTCAATCGCGTAGAATCGTATCATTGTCACAACCTTGCTGTCTCAGTCCTTAGTTGATAAACTCGATTTCCTCTAAGGATTTCATTTCAGTCACACCTCAACGCTGGACTGCCAACGTACATCAAATGCAGATGCCGTTCATGGCGATCACCAATTTTCTCTTATTGGAGAACATGAAAAGGGGAAAAAGAACAAATCAGAGAAATTACGTAGCAAAGTCTCAATGAAAAAGGGCAGTGTTTTCTCCCAGTTTTTTAAAAGGTGTGAAATTATCCTTTTAGGAGAGTTGTCATGCAACACTTTCTTAAAAATTTTTCTATCATCAATGTTCTCAACTTAGGAATTCGCGAAAGAAAAACTTTGAGTCAGATCGAATGAAGTTTGAAGAAAATGCCGATGACGAGTGGATGAGGTATAATTATTCCCACGACCGACTTTCTTTTAACCTCAGCATTGAAGAAAAACATCGAGATATAGTTATTGTTAAGCGCATATGTGCTAATCAGTATGTTAACTTGTTGCCTGTGGTCGTTAGTGTCACAAATGTCATAAGCAGGTTGGCTTTACCACTAAAAACTCCAGCGCTGATCGGTTCAATAATAAAGGGGCAGGAATGGTCTGACTACCCGAATCTGAGTGAACATTAGTATGTTGACAACGAGTCAGCATATGTAAGTAATTGCTCATGAAAATATTTTTATCATGATTTTTCGTCCTGTAGAGTCATAGGCCATTGGGTCACACAAGAAAAATTTACGAGTCTGTGAAAATAAAGCCAATATTTATAGTAACTGCCACGACCGACTTTCTATTAACCTCGGCATTGATCAAGTGATTTTCTTCGTATTTTTGTTGAGCAAACGCGAGGTGTTACTATTCTTTGTTCACGATTAAGCTAACGTTTCGGCGAATTTCGCCTTCTTCAGAGCCGCTTTCTATGAGGTTTCCACTAAGTATGTCACGCAGAGACCAACCGCACAGAAATCACGTGGAAGTATAATGTATATTATATAATATTTATTAGGTTTATATATTTTTTATTTATATTATTTTTATATTTTTATATTTTTATTTTTTATTTTTTTTATTTTTTTTTATTTTTTTTAACCCAATATTTATAAGGTTTTTTTTACAGTACTAAGATAATAAAACACGAAATGAAGTCGCTGAGTGCTTTCACAAATGTTTTCTGAAAAGGTTGAAATATTTTCGGCCTAATAATGATATGATAGGGATTAACGCTTTCTCTCTAGTCAGATTCTCTTTGTTACATCACATTTCTTGTGGGATTTATGAAGCAACATTATCGCGGTGTTGTGAAGCCGTCGATTGAAGCTACTGTATAGGATGTGTACCCACTCCTTTCTTGATTAGCACTGACAAGGTGACATTGCTTTCGACGCTATCAATTGTTCCATTATGATTAATCTATCTATATTGCTCGTACATTTGTAGACCGACTTTCGTCTAACCTTGGTAAGGTCTTTTTTCTTTCATTGATAAGCTAACACGAGATTCATATAAAACTATATTCGACCAACGTATCGTTGCCTTGGTTTTCGCCAGAGCCGTAATATTCCGAGTCGATAGTCCGCAGTTTTGTGGTATGGGTTTTCGCGTTCGCGTCAGGCCAAATCCGGAACAGTAATTCACCGATCGAATGTTGTGATTGTTCTATTGTTCATGCTTCGAAGTCCAGTACTATGTTGAACGCGTCGTCTGTCTTCACGAGACTTCTTTCAAACTTTCAAATGAGTGGTGCCCACAATTTTAAGCATTATACAATACCCGAATCGGAAGTCTACGATTAAAAAGACGTAGATCAATTCCGACCTTGACAATCTTCGTCGTTTACTCGCCGAAATCAAACTGTGACGTTGAAGAAGTCGAAGCGTTCTATATGGACTTGGAGAAGTTCTACAGAGAAGACCATACATTCTTCAAGGTCATCATTGGAGATTTCAACGCCAAGATTGGACCAAAAAGAACTTCACATTGCGACCCACGGATTATAATGGAACGAACAGGATGAGCGGCTAAGTTTATCACGGCGACCATGACAGTCCATGGTTACTCGCAATTCCAGAAGCCCCACACTCAGCGCTGGACGTGGGAGTCTCCCAATGGAGGGTACCATAACGAAATAGACCACATCATAGTAAATAGAAGGTTTTACCTAACCGATGTCGCTGTTGTCCCTAAATTCTACACGGGATCAGACCATCGTCTCCTTCGTGCAAGATTCTATTTCTCGCGGAAAGGAGAAAAAGCCGCTAAATGTAAAAACCGAAGTCCCAGAACCACCGTAAACTGGGACTTATTCAATTCATTAGTCGACTGTTGGGAAGATGCCATTGTCGGTAATATCGACGAAGAATGCGATCGGCTTATTCAACATCTTCACGTTAGCGCTATGAAAGCTGAGAGTTCGAAAGTCACCAAGAGACGTTTGTCTCCAGAAACACTCGAGCTGATACGCCAGCGTGGAATCGCACGAGCTGCAGGCAAACGCGAACTAACGTCCCAACGGGCAAAACAATGCAGACAGGTGATAAAAGAAGATCTTAAAGAGAGAAGAGCAGCAGTGGCCGAACCGGCTCTTCACACGTTACCTGTCTGAATATAAGGTCCCTACTCAGTGGAAGACCAGCAAGACTGTGTTATTGTCCAAGAAGGGTGACCTACACGATATCGGCAACTATCGCCCAATCT